ATATTTCATACGTTTCACCAAGTAAGCAGTATGTTTGATACCATGTTAGCAGCCATCAGTAAACTGTGATGACAAAACTAACAGGTGTGTTGTAATGTGCCCCAGGTCTCGCTCGTGACAACATTTGCGTGGGTGCGGTAAACCACGAAATATAAGATCCCTTCTGCGCCAACAACTAAAATAACTCGGGATTAAGTCATCTTTTCTGGTGGTTATTGTCAAGATAACTCTGTTAGTCACGCGGACTTTGAGAAAATCCAGGGCTAGGGGAGACTGAAAGTAAAAGTAGAATTTCGTTAGTATCACTATTGTAACAGTTTTAGACATGTCCTCTTGTTACCACAGTGATATTGTGGGGAACAAGATAGTAATAACTTTGGCTGAGACCCTTTGGCCTTTTCGTGATTGGTTGTGGAAACCAAGACAATTCAATGGGAAACTTGTTAAGTTGATTGGAAGTCTTGTAACTCAACCACTGTGCTATTCAATTTATAGCTCTGTTGGTTTCTTGTATAACAGATAATATCATCATATTATGAAGTAACAAATTTGGCAGTGATTTGATTAAAGGACTATTGACCGATCCGTGATGCAATTTCTCCATATCATGAAGTATCTCTCTCTTAGCCAAGGTTTCTTGCAGGTGTGGGGCAATATATTTCAAAAGAAATGGTTTCGAATTTTGAAGTATCAACGAATATGACAAGTACGTCCGTCTAAAGTTAGAGTATTTCAAAGATCCTGGCATGGTTTGGAACATTCTTCCCCCCATAAGGCCACACCAATTTAATTTGTTTTTTCTCGGATTTTTTCAGAAAAAATCAGGAGCGACATTGCGAAAAAAACAGACCAAGGTACCCCATGATAGCCGGAAATGTTACAATATGAGCCATGAAGTGAACATACCAGGCTGGTTTATAATTAAAACAATAGATTTTGAACTTTTGATGAAACAAAATTGCATTGTTACATTGAAAAACTTAAGAACTAAGAAGAAATGGACTTTTTTCAACCATTGGGGACAAAATATGTCTTTAATTGAGCATTTTGCAGTTACTTTAGAACAAAAATGTTTTTGTTGTTGCAATTTGGAAAAAAAATGGACAGGGCGATCCGAGAAGCAACAAATTAAATTGGTGTGGCCTAAACATCTCACAGTTCGAGACGAATCCTAAGCTTCACACTAAACCAAGACTTATTGAGTCCTCAGTAATAGACGGAACCCGAGAAGGGAGCTATCAGGAAGGATTATCAAGGTCAGCTTGAGGTCAACAGCTGTAAGATCAAGTCTTGATAGAAACTTCAAGTGACGAAACGGTTAACCACTACCTCCAAGACGAAAATAAACAGACTCCTTTTGTTTGGGACAAGGAATTGTTATTAATTATAAGCCCGTGTTAAAATGAAAGTCTCAAAAATGGATAAAAGAGTAAGGCCACAGCAAGTAAATGTTATGGATGACATCCTCTGCAGACTCCAAATCTAATGGGCCGAAAAAAAAGGTTCCCACATTTTCAAATTTTGGCTCAATCATTGTATAAATGGTTTTGATTCAGTGGGAACATCACATATACACAGCCAGCATGACATATCACTGCATCAAAGTAAGAAACAAAACATTAAATCAGAGTCTTTTCTTGTCTCCTCTCTTCATAGGTATCTGTCATCCACGTAACGGCATGGCAACAGACATCTTTGTCCATTTTCGACATGTTGACCACCGTCGGAGGGCAACATTTTTTTTTCAAAATCAGGCGAAAATTAATGCGCACGCTGATGTCATCCATAAAAATTACTTGCTGTGGCCTAAAACATCTTCTGTGACTGCATGCCCCCACTATAGTATAGTGTTGCGCACGTTGTCGTCGCGGCTGCTTCGATTTTGACAAGCTAAAAAATTTAAGGTTTTGTCCTAAAATGAAGTGATTCGTATCTATGACCAATGTCTATTGCTAAAACGCCACTTTCTAGTCTGTTCTCTGTAGAGTAGAATTTACCTTCTTTATTCGGTGAACTTTCCGAAAAGGCATATGTTGTATATCTAGAGAGGGCCAGTGCGGCCGTTTGTTTTCTTTAACTGTTTTTGACGTGACAGAACACATGCATGTGTCGCCATTTCCGCCGTGTCCTTGGTCTTATCAAAAGTGTTGAAAGCTACCAGTGAGGTATGATGAACCAAGATGGATAGCTACTCTCCTATGAGAGGTTTAGGCTTTGGCTTTATAATATGTTTGACGTGTTTTAGGCGTTTTTATCGTTTTTGTACTGGTACCTTTTTTTTACTGTCCTGCCAATTTGATACTGTACTGAACTTCACCGAAAGATCTGCTTGGAGATTATAAGCAGTCAAGTCAAGTCAATTGCAAAGTCAATGTTTATTGCACAACGATTGTAACAGGTAACAATATTACTAGCTCTTCACTGAGTTTATCAAAATTCTCTATATCGGTTCAACGGGTACTCAGGTCTGACAGAATGTTGAATAGACACTTGAACTGCTGACTAAGAACTAGTGCATCTCTACACGTACTGGCGTTCTAAGCTACACTATACTATATTCATAAAGGGTACGATGAGCAGTTGTATATATACTATACAGGTTCTTATAGTACTATACAGAGTGTCGACTAAATTACTGGCTAAGATAGGCTACACTAGACAAGATGGCGGTGTTGCCGGATGTGGCGCGTATTTTACGACTGACAGGGCACAGACAGAAGCGACACCTGGAGGGCATTCCTGAGTGACAGGTGCGGTTTACGCTGTCCAGCCTCGCGAAACAGGGGAATGAGAGGTCAGAAAGTCAACTGTCCCTCCCAAGGTAAGGGTATCATGTTAGGGTGTCCACAAGCTATATACATACATTTTGAAAAGCAAAAGTCATATTTTCACAAAGTCATACTTTTCAACCCAACTCTGGCTTCGTAAAGGTGCCAACGTTGAAAGTGCAAGTTATTCTCCTGACGTATTTGAATTCCGGATAGGTTACTAGTATTATGAGCTTATAGTACTACATGCTCCAGCACATGTAAATACACGTATCTACGGTTGGGCAACTTTTTCGACGAAACAGCTAGCGACACCAGTGTGTCAAACAGATATATAGTATACAAGTAAAATGGTAAAAGGTCTAAGGTAAGGGCTAAGGTAAGTAAAATGTAGTACTAGTATTTGCATTATAAGATTAAAGTCCTAAACTCTTTCCTATTGTTAGGCCTTTGTCTCAAGTAATATTTAGAGACGGAAAATTAAAGATATGATTTCAATACATATATAGTCTTTATAGTATCTACTCCATCAAGCTAGAAAGCAATTATATGTACGATTAAAGGAGTACTAACCTCCAGAAGGAGGTGCTATATTTCGACAGGCATTTATTTTTGGAAGTGAAAAATGCATATTATTTTACACTATACAATTAAATGCCCATTTTGCGAGCAAGTCTTAAAACGCATCGAATCCTGGACAAACTCTCCAAATACCCTCAAAACTATCCCAGAATACACCACGCTACCCCATTGGTGTCTATGTTTTAAACAAAAAGTTACGTTGCAGACCTCATTTCGGGGGCGATAAGAAAAATTCGTACCGTTTTGTGTTCTTTGGTATCTCACCAACCATTGCCCTTCTTGGTGTCCTTATCGCCCCTCATTTATGCCGCAAATATTGACGATGAAAAAAACGGCGTAATCGAGTTATCTTTTTCATAAGTGGCGTAATCTAATTATCTGTTCAAGTTATACTTACATGCAAATAAGTTGAGGAAATCAAAACACACAGGATGAAACTGGTGCCCACTGTATTCGACATCCTGATATTATAATATCCAAGCCACAGGTCAAGCAAAGTAAAGCAAGTAATTTGTCAATAATCAGCTTGTTAATGTGCTTGTCTCCTACCATTTTCGCCAAAAAATGTTTATGTTGACCTGAAGTGTATGTGTATTGCGTAAGCCAGAGTTCCCGGATGTATCAATTGTGGTTCAGCATGGGGGAAAATGATATTAATATCACTTTACAAACATGCGCCGCGCAACTCGTACAAGCGAAATTATGTAAAAAGTCGGCTAGTTATGTATTCATTGCAGCATGATGTATCGGAAAATAGCACTTCCTTCTGGAGGTTAGTACTCCTTTAATGTCATATTAGCTTGTCACACAATGCAGACTTTTGATAATAACGCTAACGCATCTTCAATCTTGAGCGCTATAAACGTGCAATTTTCCACCAAAAGGGCAAGCAGGACATTCCTCCGTGGTAGGAATGCGTGAAACTCACCACGTGAACCTTTGACAAAAAGTACCTCACAAGTGCATCGTACACCAAACAAACGTTACTACAGTAAAACGCGGTGTTTCCTAAATAAGAGTGCCATTAAAAAGAACTCTGGAACCAACCACGCAAGACCACAGCTTATACGCCTTCCAAGGAGGATACAAAATATTGACCCAGCCATCCTCCAGAGAGCACCATGACATGTAAACAGTTACCCTCCCATATTGACTCACTCTCACCTGAGTTAGGTGGAAAACAGACGACTGAACTTCCGCTAAGGCACTACGAACCCCGCCATACAATCATTCTGAGGAAAATTATCGTCTGCGCTACCTAATAGTTGATAACCATTGTGTCTCATTTGCTAGCTCGACTCAATTGTTCCAACAAATTGGAAGAGTAGATTGCCACTTTGGGACTGTGATAGAGAACACAATTATACATGTACGTCCCACTGTTACCACCGTCATAATGACAATATGCAGCAAAGGGTGTTTCTATACCACTGTGACAAATATGGTGAGGCAGCCAAACATGTTTAGCGCCAGACGTTCAATACGGTAAAAGGCTGCGAACGATAGCCTTTTACCCGCAAAGCCATAGAAGGGTGATATTGTTCGTCACCCCTGACCTACAACATATACATTGTTGTACATACACACAAGAGGACCCGGCCCTCGTATATACAATCTATATACATTCACACAGTACCATTCACACATTACCTTCTTCCAGCACCCGCACCATAGCCGTGAGCACCATGTCTTCGGTGTTCTGTGGTTCTCCCCTCCCGCCCTTCCCCTCGCCTGACATGTCGGTTCCGGCTCGGCCGTCCTGCTTGCTTGCCCCGTGCATTCCCCTGGTCCCTCCCGGTCCGTCCACATTCCACGGCGCGGGCTCCGCACCGCCCTGTGTTGTGTCGACAGCCGTCGGTCGTCGCTTGTAGGCCGATGCCGTTGTTATCCGTATACGTATAGGCCAACGCTCGGGCCGACTCATTTAATAGCGAGTGAAAATCCACCGACGTCTTACTCTCAGGTAGACGATAGAACCCAGAGGCGTTCTTCTACCTTCCAACCATTTAGTAGAATTAAACCAAATGAGCTTGGAATCACCAGTTGGCGCAGGCAAAATTAAGGCGTATTGCTGTCTTCAAAGGGATTCCTTAAACACCTCGTTGCATACCTGGCCACTCGAAGGTACGTTGTCAAAGTTGACAGCCTTGTTGTGCGCTGGATTTTCAGAGAACTGGGCTGGTTCTCCGTCCTAGATCCGGGTGGCCTGAAGCAATGTGGTTGTGTTGTCAACTCCGTGACTATATCGCGACTGGTGTAACCATATCAGTAGTCTACACACGTCCTCACATTTGAATTAGAACGGCAACACAACAGGTTTACGCCCTCGAGTCAACCTAACATTTCTCTCCGACGTTCTGGGCGATCTTGAGAGAGAAACACTTCCGCACTGTAACATCCACACTTCAGGAATACACTTCCGAATCTCCAGCAGTTGGACTTGGTGCAGATCCGACCCAACTCCGCAAGGTTTTGTCGTTGTGAAGACCGTGAAGCGAGCTCTCTTCGTGGGCTTATACTAACGACCGTGGTCACGAGAATGCGCCAACAGCGAATGTTTCCACCACAGCCCGCCCACCCTCGGGGCATGAATGACGCTCCAACCCGGGCCTAATAGCATCCTGATCGGTTTGGAGGACAGCGCACACAGACCTCCCATTGTTAGAAGCGACATTATGCTTCCCGTGATGGAAGAGCACCTTGAGGGGGCAAATTGGCACGTTGCGGTAAAGCGAACTCGCCGGCTATCAATTTTAGCACAAATTTGTCAGCTATATGCCTCTGGCTAAGGATGAATACTAGTAGTCTACCGTAACAAAAATAAAGGAACACCGAAAAATGCAGAAAAAAAAGTTATCCAAATTATCAAATGTCAACTTTACGTATCATGTTTCATTTTATTTTTAGTGTAGTTGTCTTTTCTTAGTTCATTTTGATTGATGGTGTTTTACTAGTATTCATTTTCTAAAGACATACAGATACTAGGGAATTGCTGACATTGTTCCTGCTTCGTACAAGGTGGTGTCAAAATCATGTTTTAGAGCCATTTTATTTTGCACAAAACTATTACTTTTTAAGATTTATTAATAACAGTAATCATAACATTGTCTTTTCCCCATTCCCATAACCAGTGAGGACATTAATACAGCAGTTGTGAGTACGTGATGCTATTTTACTATTGGTCACTGACTCAGAACTTTATTGAAGCATAAAGCTAGCTTCAAACGTGCCGATACGCAGTGTCTTGAATATCATGATAAATTCTATTTCGCGTTTTGTGTCTTTTATGTGTCTTTACGGTGCTCCTGCCTGTTTTACCACTTTCCATCTTTCAAAAACCCTCATAACTTCAAAGCAATTAATATTCATCCTTACATTTTCCCCTGGGTATCTCACAAACAAAAGATAACAGTATTGTAAACTATGACGTCATGCCACGTTTACCTGACATCACCGTTGCGCAACAGGTACGAAACACGCGACAATGGGTGGTTAATTACTTACTCTTATGTTTAGACAACTTAATTATCCGAATCCGTGTTAGTATAGTGGTGAGTATCCCCGCCTGTCACGCGGGAGACCGGGGTTCGATTCCCCGACACGGAGGATATATTTTTTAGATTTATACCACTGAAATACGATTATACGTTATCCTATACATACAAAAAGGCCATTTTTACAAGCGAGTTAAAGTACATTCCCAGTAATTTTTTTATCCAGCATTCATGCCATGAATACATATAACTGCTATTGCGAATTCTGTTATGACCACTGAGGTATGACTCTGGTGAGTCGCAATATATTGAACAATCATTAGATATCGGTTGGCCATTCTCTCTGCCGCATCTCACCCAGTCCGTGTTAGTATAGTGGTGAGTATCCCCGCCTGTCACGCGGGAGACCGGGGTTCGATTCCCCGACACGGAGGAATCATATTTTTAGCTGCATTTAGATTGTAGAATATACCGACTTCTTCAAAATAAAAACACAAACTTGGTTTCTTGTTTTTCAAAAGTTACTTTTGTATCAGATTATTATAATTAAGTTGATTTTTTCCATTGTTTCATTTATTGTTATATATATCGTTAGTAATTGATCACAAATTATTGTACTGCGATCTGAAAGTTACGCAATCAATGACTAAATATATTGTCATGCTATTTCGTCCAATGTTCATCATCTGAATCCGTGTTAGTATAGTGGTGAGTATCCCCGCCTGTCACGCGGGAGACCGGGGTTCGATTCCCCGACACGGAGAGTTTTTAGCTGCATTTAGATTTATATTTATTAAGCCGTAGAGGTAGAATTGGCCTTGTTCAAACCGTTTATACCAAATACCGACTTCTTCAAAATAAAAACACAAAATTGGTTTCTTGTTTTTCAAAAGTAACTTTTAAGTCGATTCTTTCCATTCTTTTCATTATTGTTATATATATATCATTAGTAATTGATCACAAATTATTGTACTGCGATCTGAAAGTTACGCAATCAATGACTGAATGTATTGTCATGCAATTTTGTTCGCTGTATCACATCCGAATCCGTGTTAGTATAGTGGTGAGTATCCCCGCCTGTCACGCGGGAGACCGGGGTTCGATTCCCCGACACGGAGGTGATATGATTTTTATGTTATACCAGTGTATATCGACATTCATGCTGCAACACTACTGAAAATTTTTACAGAAAACTGATACTGCTAGGATCATGGTAATTATGACCTTATTTACGTAATCAATTAGGCTTGGTTATTTATCCCATTTATTTGCTACCAAAAATTTGCTGGCACCCCCTCTAACCCATTTTTTTTACCAAATGCCGACGTGGTCTCGCCAGAGGCGGGGAAGCTCGTCCTAGAACGGACACATTATTTGACCATTACTGCTCTTTACGTTGCTGCCGGGTAAAAGTTGGTATTGCATATAAATAATTAAAAGAAATATCACCCCGTAATCCATGACCAGGCGAAGTTATATTGAAATCACATTGCGTTCAGACGCAAATCGCGATGCGGGAAAACCGATTCGAAACCACCTCTAGAAGTGGTTTGGGATCGAGGCGCTTTCAATGTGATTTGGAGCGTTCAGATGGAGCCACTTGAAACCGGCTTCGGGGTAAACCACATGTAAAGCGCCTTCACTGACTTCACATGAACACGGCCTAAGTCGACGTAAGGATGCTGTTTCAATGTTGAACACCGTGATGCCATGTTGTTTAACTCTTATGGTCTCATTGATGATTTTTTATACATTAGGAACCATGCAAAAAACATTTACATAAACTCTACATATTTCATGGTAACATGAGTGTGTTCCCTATGATCCTACATTAAATCAGTTGATATCGTTCATGCTATGTTAAGCACACTTACTCTACATCTCATAAAAAATTGCCAACGACTTCTATACCACAATCCCTTTTTATGTGAATTACAAACTGCACTTAGCGGCTGCCCGCAAGAGGCCCTCCCGCGCTGCAAACCTACGACCGCACAGCTCACAACATTGGACTGTGCACGTCCGGTCCGACCTAGCGCGCGGCTGCCGACAATTACGTCCTAATTTCATCAGTTACAAACAAGCTTTCACTGCTTACATCCGTTGGGCTGAAAATTCTCACCAATAAAAACACGTTCATACAGCCGTTTAGTTGTTTGACTTGGTACTAGTATACTCGGAGTAAAACATGAACGAGACCTTATCGTTCGAATCCGTGTTAGTATAGTGGTGAGTATCCCCGCCTGTCACGCGGGAGACCGGGGTTCGATTCCCCGACACGGAGGATATAATTTTTATGGTTCCAATCCAGCGGTTACACCGGTTATCAGTGGGGAGATGCATTGCGACCCAAGCGTCCTAAAGGGTAGCTCGTGACAATCTACACAATTTATAACAACTTATTATCTCCAAGTAGATTCGGTGGGGCAAGGTGACTTTATGTTGGTCTCTTGTATCTTTTGGCTGCCCCACTGAATCTGCTTGGAGATTATGAATTTCTGGCAACGCTAAACGGTAGATTTTGGAAGGCCGGGAACCTGCCGGACTGACCAAACATTTCAGAACACCGACAACGTAACGCTTAACGCACGGTAAACTAGTGACGTGCATTCGAGCTAGTTTTCTCATTATTGGTAAAACTAGGCTAATCTTTAAGACGATCCTAGGGTGGCAAAAGACAACATCAAATTGGCCAGGCAGTAGGCGAAAAAAAATCCGGCCAGTGACGTATACGACATGCTGGCTTTTTGCGTCACTGTACGTATGTAACTCGGCTCCGGTAGCCTGGGTGTCATCCTACACAGTTACTATCCAGAACTACGATGGACTACCCAGGCCTAGGGCCTTGTCAGAGCCTGGAAGGACGTGATCTTTTTTTTTAGAACAATCGGAAATCAATGCGCGCGCGGATGTCATCCATAAAATTAAGTCGGTGTGGCCTAAGAGCGAGAGGTACTTGGGAAAATTATGAGGATTATGAAGTGACGGACAGGTACTTACCTAATGCCCATATCGTTATCAATGAAAAGAAATAAGTTCCAACAGTAGCCAACTTGGATAGCAAAGTAATTCGCGATTGTTCGTGTGGTAGCTGTGACTTACAAAACAACTTTAAGGGATGAAGTAACTCTATTCTACCTGCTTGACGAAAAGGAAATTTCTATTTGCAACAATTAAGACAAATAGTTGACATGAGAAAAAATTATTCTGTCCACCGCTGTTGCCAGGAGCTTGAGCCCAAACAAATCAACATGTAATCCGACCAGAAGCGAAGTTGAAGTTGGTGCGCTTATTCCACTTTTATAGCTCTGATCTTGCCAGGAAATAGTGTACAATGTACTAATAGGCCCATTTTCAGTCAGAGCAACGTTGGGTAATGCCCTTCGTTCAAAAGTAACGAACGTGGCAAAATAGGACTTAAGTTCACGAGTACCTTTCACAGAGGGACTCACTGGTGAGAAAATTCCTAGCAAAAACTTTCCCAACAGATTATGTACATTGTTAGCTACATTGTACGTTGTTGTCATATAAAAGGGCCTGGCACCGAACGCGCAGCCCAGACTCTCCCATACCAAGACTCAGACTCTGTCATCTCCGAGTGTGTTGCAGAGACACTCTGAGTGATACAGTCAAATTTTCCTTGGTGCCTGCCTGTTTAGAACAAGCCAGGTGTCGACCATGGGGAAGTTCCCCATGATCCTACTGCCTGTGTTCGCTATTGCCGTGGCAGGGCATACCCCGACAGAACCAGAATTTTCCGCGACCTCGTCAGAACCGGGACGCATTCTCCCAGACTGGACGATGGCACGACTTCGCTACGACGGCTGCAGGTAAGCGTAGAACTCTACTGTTGTGTCTACTGTGTGAGATTCAAGAGTTTGTTCGGATTGTCATTTTTTTGCTGAAATTACTTTGTGGGGTCGTGTGGCGGGTTGAGTACTCGACTCGGAATCAAGAGGTCCTGGGTTCGAGTCCTGATATGCCACCGATCTTGTGCCCTTGGGGAAGACACGACTTTCCTCACTTCGCCCTGGTGAAAATGAGTATTGTCTTGTCCCCTGTGTTGGTGGCGGCATTAATATAAGTTGAAAAAACTTAAGTGTGCCGTCACCACGTCTTGTGATTAGATGTTGGAATATAAAAAAAATTGACTTTTTTTCTCGCCGTGCAAGACTCCCTCCTCGGCAAATCACCCCGGGCTGTACTCCCTCCACACTACAACTCGCGTCGCTCCCCGGAAAAAAATAACGCCGCCGCCGCACAAGTCCGTGTATTGCGCAAAATAAGAATTTTTCATTTCTATTTGTGAGCACATTTGTACACACAAATACGTACATAAATTTCTCCGTCGGTATGTTCAAGAAAAATTGTAAAAAGTTACGATTTCAATAGAGTATAAAAGGAAGCCAGAAACTTAGCAAAAGCATAATTCTTTACAAGGATTGTGAAATTTTTGTATGAACGCCGGTTAGTTTTTTTTTTATTCCAACATGTAATCCCCAGACGTGGTGACGGCACACTCAAGTTTTTTTTATTTCATCTTATGTTAATGCCGCCACCAACACAGGGGACAAATACAGGACAGGACAATACTCATTTTCACCTGAGCGAAGTGAGGAAAGTCGTGTAAAGTGCCTTTCCCAAGGGCACAGGATCGGTGGCATGTCAGGACTCGAACCCGGGACCTCTAGGTTCCGAGTCGCGCGACGGTTAGTTCAGCGTCAAACATACGCTGGATACTTAATTCTGACTCATACCCCTTCACAGGAGAGCCGCAATGAACCGTGGTACCGTCTGAATGAAAATTCTTTGTATATTCCTGGATATTTAAAGCGCATTGTAGAAATGTTCACTACATTACGAATAGTTGTGCCCATTCTTGAGGTCCGCGCGGCCCGAATGTTTTGAGCGCGTTCAAAACTTCGGTAAATTGATGTCTTTTATCGTATTTCCCTGTCAACTTAAACAAACAGAAATAAGAAATCGTTTTCATTCCTTGACAAAGACTGGGTGAGTCCATTTTGTTGTGTTGGAAATTACAGTTTAAAATTGCTTCATAAACAGAAATAAGTTCCAGTTTCTCTGTTTTTCAGGATCCATGCGGAGTTTGAACCGAAGGATTTGTCTGGTAGGATGTGTGAACAGAAGGGGGAACTGACTGACATTGACAACAAGACCCAGTCGGTACTGAACTTCCAACTTGCGGGGACTGAAGGTAAGAGTCAGCTAGACTAACCACCGTCATTCCTAGTTCATGCGTCGAGCCGCAAAACAAAAGCAATGTTTATCTAGCCTCCTTCGCAGTCTTGTTGGGCGTCGGCGTTATTTTTCTCCGAGGCTCCGAGGCTCTGGTCGACTGCAGTTCAGTACACCTCCGGAGGTCGCAATGTAAAATATATATTTGTTTTCAGTTATTTTGTAGATTATACCGTGAATTTCAACATATTGGCCGTGTTTCTCTAGTGCACCCTAGTATAATTTTTACCACGTCGAAGTGTGTCACCTTGGGTGTCCCATGGGGCGAAAACTGTTCTGCCACCACAATACACAGGTGTCTACGAGCATGCTATCAGAGGGCGACGTTCGTATGTTTAATCATCATCATCATAATCATCATCATCCACTGCGTTAACGTTCTGCGTCTACAGTCGTATGGAAATAACCTGTAGCCGCATTCAGTCTTTCTTAATCTCTTTCCACCGTGTCCTCGATCTGCCTCGCGAGCTCTCTTTATAGCTCCTTGAGTTTCCCTTCACTCGTATGTTTGATAGTCACATGGAATGGTCCATGATTCATATGTCGAGGTGGATTTGGAATCGGAATTCGGGTCGGGATCCGATTTGGTACAGTTGGCGACTTTACCGGTACCGTTAAACACTCCGATTGTGGTTAGGGTTTTAGGAGTTGTATGGTTCTTGGGATTTCTTTGAGTACTAACCGATAGCAGTTTTTGGCGACGCCTCAGGGGCGGAGGCATTTTTTTTTACAATATATTACGATCAATATGTTCCACGAATGCATTCCCTATTATACGTCGTCAGAAATCAATTTATTAACAGGATGTCGCACGTGTTTCAGTAGGTTCGTTTTTTTCCCTTTCTGTCGTCTTAGACGGTCCAAGATTAAAAATGATTTTTAATATCCGTGGACGATCAATGAAAATGGAATTTTTTTCATTAAGTACCTCCAGGTCTTTTTCTCTTCCTTTATTTAATCCGTCCACGGAATTTTACTTGTATTTTTACCCAACCTTCGTCATCAAGAGGTACTAGTACAGGGGTACCAAAGAATTCACCAGAATTTTACGGAATTCATACGATCCTTACTAGAAACATACGAAGTTTACGGAATACATACTATCCATTACGCGGAAACATACGAAGTTAACGGAATACATACTATCCATTACGCGGAAACATACGATGTTTACGGAATACATACTATCCATTACGCGGAAACATACGATGTTTACGGAATACATACTATCCATTACGCGGAAACATACGGTGTTTACTATTTTGGGATCATTTGGTGACTTGCCGCAGCGATCACCGGTTCCACCGATTCCAGGCATCGCCCTGCTATTTGGTCTAAAATACAGGCTACTATGTCGTGAAAGAAGTCCCCATAAGTGCACTTTGGGGTTTAGCAGGGCAGGATAAGCCCTTAAAATTCTTTGAAACCAAGATATTCTAGGGAAAACATCGCTGTTATAGTCCTCCATCTTGAATTTGCTGCCGATGTCACATGAACGTGGTGCAAGTCATCAAATTAGTAAGGATCATATATATTCCGTAAAATTCGTATGTTTCTAGTAATTGATCGTATGTATTCCGTAAACTTCGTATGTTTCCTAGTAAGGATCGTATGAATTCCGTAAAATTCTGATAAATTCTTTGGCACCCCTGTAGTAGTAAAATCTGACGCATCACAGATACATGTTAGCAAAACTTTTGACAGGATATTTTCCGTTTGCGTTAGCGCCATCACTGCAGTCCTGTCCAGATGGCTACTCCAAGTACGACAGGAAATGCTACAAGTTCTCAACTGACAAAATGGCGTTTAAGGCAGCCAAAGATGCTTGTCAACGGGATGGCGGAATGTTAGCAACCATCGATGCCCAAGACACCAACGACCTGGTTGTGAAGGAAATGAGGTTAATAAGGTTCTCTTCTCAGTTTTAAGATATAAAGGCTACTTCAGGAATAAATCACATAAGGCCATGTTGATTTGATTATATGGATGACATCCGCGCGCACATGAATTTTTTCGTCCGTTAAAAAAAATTCAACCATACTGTAAATCGTGCAAAACAGTTGCAAAACAGTTTCTTAGCCTGGTCAACGACCCGTTAGGAGTTCAGCCGGGGTTTCTAATTCCTGCCGCACCGTACTGGTAACCAGGCTAATAGTTTTCATAATCTCCACTTCAGGGCTGGCGGAGATTCGTACTGGATTGGTCTGAATGACGTACGGGAGGAAGGGAGCTTCGTGTGGAGTGATGAGGCGAAATCTCCTGCCGGTAGGAACATGGTTTTCATGCATCTCTTTTACAGATTTACTTATAATCTGAATTCTAATATACAATATTAGAAGTGGGGTCGTGTGGCGTAGCGGCAGAGTGCGCGACTCGGAACCTAGAGGTCCCGGGCTCGAGTCCTGACATGCCACCGATCTTGTGCCTTGGGAAAGGCACTTTGCACGACTTTCCTCACTTAGCTCAGGTGTAAATGAGTATTGTCCTGTCATGTATTTGTCCCGTGTTGGTGGTGGCATTAATATAAGTTGATAAAACCTGAGTGTGCCGTCACCACGTCTGGTGATTACATGTTGGAATAAAAAAAAAGACTATCGATAGCAAGTACCGCGATGATGCGCCCGGTGTGCCAATATGGGCAAGGGTATTGGACTCACGCCGGCGAGTGCCAACTTGGAGCTAGATATGTATGAGAGACCGTGTGGCATTTGCTTGGGCTGTTGGTCATCAATTCTAATGATTGCCCCTTTTTTTTAAACTTAAAGTGTACACGAACTGGCACCCGGACCAACCTGACAACGGTGGCGGGGAGGATTGTGTAGAAATGACGAAGAACCAAGACTGGAATGACCTACCTTGTTCATCAAAGTTGAACTTCATTTGCGAAAAAGGTAATCTTCTGCCCATGATACCTCCTTTTTAATCCTCTTTGATAATGACGTTGTTAACTTCACTTTTCTACCGTTATATGGGCCCTGTCACACTTTTGCGAATAGCCATTGCGTTTGAGTTGCCTACAGACATTTCTGCCGTACGCACAATACGTAACGTTACTGTAACGCACTTGTAGCGTATAAATAACGAATTCAGCGCATAGATTGCATTTGACATCCGTATGGCGTTCAAATGCATTGCGAAGGCCAAGCGTATTCCGGACGCACTCGGCGTATTCCCACCGGATGCCTAACGCACTTCCGACGAATGCCAAGCGTCTTGTGTACGTATCCCCTGCTGCTTCCTGCTGTTTCATTCGCAGGGAGTCATTCATGGGCCGCCCTCAACTCAGATAAAATGTGTTTGTTTCCATTTCGCCCTAGCCCTGGTCAATTTCCTGTAATATCTTGTCAGGTAAATTGAATACACGTACCCAGTCTTTATACAATTTGTAACAAACATAACAGTTAGACTGTTGATAGCCTTGATGAATTGGGGATGGCAAGAAATGCCCTCCCTTAATAATTTGAAAACACCCATACTTGCAATACAGACAATTTACAATTGCGCATACACACAGATAGCATGGACACTACAGATATGTGCGAACACTACAATCTACCGACACAAAAACATGCAACTGGCACATTATTCCAAAGTACAGGCAACAAAAAGCAAATATTTATGTTAAATTTAGATATATTAATGCGATATGGATATGGAGGCGGTACAGGGGTGTTCTTTTGAGTTAAAAAGTGTCAAAATGCATTTTGTAAAACAAATTGCACCCTAGGAAAGACGTTTTCTAAAAAATCATCTACTTTTCAGCAAAACATATTAGAAAGAGCCAATCATAACATATTAAACATATTATTTTTGTCACATCTTACGTAAAATGCTCCAGGAGGTCTGTTAACCATGGGGTCTAGAGGAGCCGGTACCCCGGGTGTTGCCAAGGTGTTTGGCAATTCGCTATCTAGATTGGTACGCAACTTTTGCGCTTCTCATTAGTTACAGATACGTACAATGCGCTGTCCTGTTGCAATACGAACGGTACTAAAGCGCTGTAAGTACGCAATGCATCCGTCCATTGCACGCAGCTTATGCACAGGTGCAGTTCCAGGTGCAGATCAGCGTATGAGCCGCGTGTCCCCCACAAACACATAGCGAACTCATACCGTGCTTGACCGATGTATTGCGTATTAAAAACGCATTACCTGCGTAACAGCGTACGCAGCGTAGTTTTGGGCATGCTCAAAACTACGCTGCGTACTGAGCCGGGCGGTGCGTGTGCTGTGCGTATGCCGGCGTTCACAAAACTTACACAAAACGACTGAGATGCATATGAAGTGCGCAGTTTGCGTACGGCTGCGTATGAAAAAAATGTCCGTACGCAACTCATACGCAAGTCTATTCGCAGATGTGTGACAGGGCCCAATCCTTCATGCCTACCCATTTGCTCGCGACCCTAGATTAGGGCATGTTGATTTGATTACTGGTATTTGGATGACATCCGCGCGCGCATAAATTTTCGGCCGTTTCCAAAAAAAAGTTTTCAACCATACTGTAAATCGTACAAAACAGTTGCAAAATAAGAAAATATATACCGTAAGTTGCAAAAAAATATCGGAAAACGACACCAATGTCGTAGAATGCCAAAATCAAACGAAAAGGCGAAAATGTAAAGAAATGAATTTGAATAGTAGATTATTCGTCATTCCATACTCTGTGTCATTTGTTCAACCTTCATTACCACGTAGATTTCATGTTGAAAGCAACTTTTTTTCCGAACTTTTTTTTATTCGCACGCTCGCATCAGTTCTGTGGTTCCCAGAGGATGTCATCCATATAATCAAATCAACATGGCCTTACGATCCTACCAATTGTTATACGTTTCCTGGTATCGTTGTTCTTCAGAAAAGACTCAGTTGACGTGCCCGCCTCTGTACGGAGTGAATTCGTTTAGAGGCAAGTGTTATAGATACTCTGTGCGAAGAGTGACCTTCAACGAGGCTAAGACCATCTGCGGGACAGAAGGGGGTCGACTTGCTGTCCTCAAGGACCAAGCAACAGACGTCTTCATCAGGAAGAGAATCAGGTTGGTATACTTGTGCCTTTCAGATATGAAAATATCTGTTTAAAGTTAGAACTTTTGGTCCAACACAAAAATTCTCTCACCTAGAGCTTTCGACCAGTCACTCTGGTCTTCCTCAGTAGACTGACCCAGTGAGGATAGTCACGTGGCTTCTTTGAAGTGTGACGTCAACACTGGGTCAAAGGTATCTGGTAGACAATGTCGGCCCCCGTCGCGGTTAATTGAAGTGTGGTGGATATAAAAATATCCTCAGCTTTGTTCCATTCTGTCCTAATGAGATTGAAGACGAAAAATATTCTAATATGGATTGTCCGCTATATGATGACAAACACACAAAGCTGTTTAACCTCCTTTCCGCTTGCTCAACGGAATTTGTTACTCCGGGAAGGAGGTCAGGACCTCCGGACGGAGTGTTGTGATCGGCTGATTTTTCATGTTCGCAGTCAAAACACTGGGTTCTCTTTGTGTAATCGGCACGCAATTTTATACGCCGTCTGCGGGCATGCCCGTGTTGATGCACGAATGTGTATTTTTGCCGTTGCTGCTTTCGCGGTCAATGTAATATCGCAGACGCACCCCTACAATTACGAGGCGAATTGGAATGGTCCAGAAAAACGCGTTGTTTGGAATAGCAGTGGGGGGGGGTAAAAGTTCATGCAGATACGGGGTGGTTTTGATAAGTGGTTCCAGATGTTTTTGCCCATGGTTAAGAGATGCCAAGTTTTTTGGAAGATGTTCGCAGCCAAAACGCAATCTTCCGTACGTCGCATTTCTGTGTAATTTCGCATGTGGTGTTGCATTATGTCCGGGATGATGCACGTCTTTTTATTTTTACCGTAGCTGTTTTGATATTGGAGTAAATGGTTATTTTCGAAACATCCCCATGCCGTTGAAATGTTGTCGTCCGTTTATGTCACCGGTAGTAAGTCGCGGCGGGGCTGATGGTCAACATTAGGAAATGTTAATACCGATAACGTAATCCTATCGATTTCAAACTGGTCGGGTGTGGCGACCTAGTGGCGGCGTGTATTTAGTCACGTAGCAACTGGCCGGTCGTCCTAGCAACGACACATGGCCAATATTTTTGGGTTGTGCCGCTCCATAGTGTTAGTGGAGCAGCTCTTTGTAAACATGGACAATATTTTTGAGCAACCCATCAATGTGTTCTGCCTCGTGGTCGGATGTGGTCTGGGGCTGGTAAACCGCACATACAGTACTAGTAGATCGGGTAATTTTATGATTTGCTAGTTGTAGAGGCGTCGTGTAGTATGAGCCGGTATATGAAGAAGTAGCCTGTGTTACACAATCATGCTTTCGGCCGGATTGATGTGCAACTGTTACTAATTGCAGGGACTGCGCTAATGCCGACCAGTCGCGCTGTCCTGATACACCGCGAATGTGCGAGTGTTCCCTGTAGACAGTCCCGGGAGTCATTTTTTTCGCACATTCCAGGAGCCAAACCAAAATACGTTCATGAACCGAGTCCAAAAAACCGAAACGTGAAAATCGGATGATCGGACCTGATGTACATTTCTCTTTCTGTAGATTGTACACACAATACACACATCTTTAGATAATCTGGCCATGGCAGGTAAAAAAAAAGTAACCCTGAATCATACTAGATTAGCGTAAATGCATGTTTATGCGTTCAAAACAAGAAAAGAATTTGTTTCTCGGTATTAATCTCTTGAAACACGGCGCTGAATATTGAAGCAAAAATATTTCGGGCATCGAGCGCCCTTCCCCAAATCCCGCGTCACGTGTCGGCATTTCGCATCTCTGATTGGTTGTTGCGACTTAAGATGACTGAGCCGACGCGCGTTTAAACAATTTTTCTTTGTTCGATTTATTTTCTTCACAGAGAATTGTCGCCAATGGCTACTTCTTTTTGTTGCAATATATAATACTTCACGGAGAATTGTCGCCTATGGCTTCTTGTTACATTTCATGCTATGGATAAATTCAATTTCATTCTACAAGGTAATAACCCTTACAGTGTACAAATAGGTGAATACATCAAAGAATGCTTAGACCTAAGAACAAGCTTAGTAGTGTAAGTTCATTCACCTATAGTACGTAGGTCGATTCTGTCGTAACCATGGTTAAGGACCTTACGAACGTCGTTGTAGTTTTGTGTTGTCAATAAAGTTCTATAACTTTATTGTATAAACAAACTACTTCAGGAGGGCCAGCATCAGGAGTTATGAATAAAAGTCAGATAGGATGATGAGATAAAGCAGTGATTATTCTGTACTTTTTGCGCAGGAGTTTGCCCCACCGACGTGTTCTCAACTACTGGATCGGTCTAAGTGACGACCAGGAGGAGGGGACGTTTGTGTGGAGTGATGGAACCGAACTGACTGCATCTGGTAACTATCACTCAGCTACTAACTTTATACAGTTTCTTTACCTTAGTTGTTGTAACAATGAAGTTCACATCAAGCCATTGACGGATCAAGACGACAGGTCATTCCGACGGCTTTTACAGTGGTCGTGGGGTCGTGTGGCGCAGTCGGTAGCGCTTTCGGCTCACACCCCAGAGGTCGCGGGTTCGCGAGGTCGCCCATGTCACCGATCTTGTGCCCTTGGGAAAGGCACTTTTCACGACTTTCTTCACTTCACTCAGGTGAAAATGAGTACCTAGCTTCGGTAAATGGAGGTCCCGTGTTTGGGAGAGCCCCATGCACGTTAAAGAACCCACTGCACTTATCGAAAAGAGTAGGGGACGTTCCCGGTGTGAGTGGTTCAAACCTTACAGTCTGGTCTTACGCAGCTTGTACAAAACTGGTGTGTTACGCCTAAAGGCGGTTTACCGGTTATGCGAAACAACCAAACAAACAAACAAACAAACAAACAGTACCTGATATGTATCTACTCGTAGATTCGCATTGATTTCTGTCGCTTCATAATGTCGCAAACACTTATCAATCGGTGGCAATTTCACCTCCCAAAGTCATTTGGACCCTAACAGAAATCAGAAAGATTTCGCCTTCCCTTTTGCCAGATGTAAGTCCAAAGACAATGGCGAGGAGGATGTAATGGCCAAAGAACCTTCTCAAGTATATAACATCACTTTGTTATTCTGCATATGTGTTAGTACAATTTGCTAACTGGGATCATCTATCATAAGTATAGGTTTATTGCAAATTCTTTCCCGGTGGCTAACTTCAAGTATTATGGCAATGACGGAGACAGACAATGAATAACAGTGTCTTGTGTTACTACGAGTACTAGTCTAAATGCTGACTGTAAATTTCACTTATTGTGTTTGACTGGGTTCTTTTTCTGTAGTAGAAGTCGAAATACAGCCTCTACCAGGCTTGGGGAGACGGCTGGAAAGAGTACAGAAATCGTTGGCATGCTTATCTCTCTATTTGGCCGATTTCTACTCTTTCCAGCCGCCTCCCCAAGCCTGGTAGAGGCTAGTCGAAATATCCCCATCAATGTATGAAACATTTACACCTGGCATGACTTGGTATTGTTCACAGGAATGCTCAGTAGGATGATACTATGAAATTCAGACACAACATAGAGTATTTACAAGTCAACCTCTATCCAATGCAGGTTACACGCACTGGAGCCAAGGCAAGCCCGACAACGCTGAAGTTGAACGCGGCGAAGACTGTGTGGAGATCCGTCAGGACATGAACTACACCTGGAATGATGTGGACTGTGGGGAGAAACGACGCTTTGTCTGTGAAAAAGGTACCACAAATTAGGACAGTGTTTCTAAAGAATGGTACAAAAGAAGAACACATGTATGAATTCACTGACTCAATCATGATCCACAGGCACTAACCTCTGCACATGCAGAACGCCCTGCACCTGCATTCAGACAGGCAGTTCACAGGATTATGGTCATAAGATAGACAGGCATGCAACCCTCCTCTGTTTCTCTTAGATAGCAGATGTCAAACATTTTTACTTCCACCTGAAGTCAGATACTAGTATGTTATGAAGAGCTTGTTCCTCGCAGCTAAGAAGATCTCCACTCTTGCATTCATTTGTGCTTTAAGCTACTGCAGAAAGATCATAAGAGGTTACCGAACAAATGGTATATTAAAAAACTCTGGCGCTTTATTCACCGTGATCTTATATAGATGCAATTTTATTCAAACTTGTAGGCCACGAACAACTTCACACCACGCCCGGGCCGCACGACTGCGCGTGGCTGGATCAGGAGCTGCAGAAACAGACCCAGGACATCGCAGAGCTCACAGCTCAACTTCAACAGAAGGAGGAGGAGATCAAATACCTTTCTACTGAACTTCAACTGAGGGAGGAGGATATCCAACACCTTTCTACTGCACTTCAACTGGGGGAGGAGGGTATCCAAGACCTTTCTACTCGACTTCAACAGAAGGAGGGGGAGATCCAAGACCTTTCTACTCGACTTCAACAGAAGGAGGAGGAGATCCAAGACCTTTCTACTCGACTTCAACAGAAGGAGGAGGAGATCCAAGACCTTTCTACTGGACTTCAACAGAAGGAGGGGGAGATCCAAGACCTTTCTACTGGACTTGAACAGAAGGAGGAGGAGATCCAAGACCTTTCTACTGGACTTCAACAGAAGGAGGAGGAGATTCAACAGAAGGAGAGAGAGATCCAAGTCCTTTCTATTACACTTGAACATATGGAGAGGGATATGGAAAACCGTTTTACTGAATTTGTACATACGAAGATCCAACACTTTACTACTTTACTTCGACAGCAGGAGGAGGAGATCCAAGACCTTTCTACTCGACTTCAACAGAAGGAGGAGGAGGTCCAAGCCCTTACAACTCAACTTCAACAGCCTTCACCAGGTGTCGAGGCAGTGACGCCATCAGAAGGTAATGAAAAAGTTGCTATTTAGAAAACGAAGATGCCCACCTAGTCTATCAAAATGCAATCTGTCTTTCCTTGACAAGTCAGCACTTCAGAGCTGGTTTCCTATATTGCAAGAAGCCATGAAAAGTGTTTCTACATTTATATTTCTAGCGATGTGGGAAATACCCATTAAAAGACCTATAAAGTGTGACGGGTATGTTGTAGAAATGTGTGCGGCTTTTAGAAGGGTAAGATGCAAGCTGAGACCGTAAGCTGAAAGATGTTAGCTAGAGTTTGGTGTTGGTGATCTCCACAGATTTTGACAAGGAATTGATGCAAGAGGACCTGCATGCCCCTTTCCGTTTAAGCGTTATCGGTGTATTTACCTCCATGAAAAGTGGAGGTATTGTTTTTGGTGTTTGTTTGTGTGTGTGTGTGTGTGTGTGTGTGTGTGTACGTGTGTGTGTGTGGTTGTCTGTCTGTCTATGTGTGTGTTTGTGTTTCCGGACATTTGCGGCCAGCTCATAACTTTTGAACCTTTGGATGGATTGTCAAGATATTTAGTATGTGGGTAGGTGTTGGGTAGGCAAGATCGAATTTGGGCCTCTTGGTGGCTGACCTTGGTACTGCAGCAGAACTTTCAGTTTTTGTATCGGCTCATAAGATAGACAGGCATGCAACCCTCCTCTGTTTCTCTTAGATACATGTAGCAGATGTCAAACATTTTTACTTCGACCTGAAGTCAGATACTAGTATGTTATTAAGAGTTTGTTCCTCTCAGAAGATCCACTCTTAAATCCATTTGTGCTTTAAGCTACTGGAAGAATATCATAAGAGGTTACCTAACAAATGGAGCCTCCTTCGCAGACTTGTTGTGCGGCGGCATTATTTTTTTGGAGACGCGGCGACGCGAGTTTTGCCGCGGAGGGACGATTTTGCGCCAAGGGAGGTTTTGCCATGGAGAGAAGGTTCTTCGCTTGTTGGAGCGGGAAACCTTCTCTCCGTGGCAAAGATTATTGACTGCAACGGTAACTAGTAACTGCGACGGCGATAGTCATAGTAATCTTATAGATGCAATTTTATTCAAACTTGTAGGCCACGAACAACTTCACACCACGCCCGGGCCGCACGGCTGTGCGTGGCTGGACCAGGAGCTACAGGAGAAAGATAGAGAGCTTCAGGAACAGACACAGGACATCGCAGAGCTCACAGCCCGACTTCAACAGAGGGAATGGCTTATTAGACGGTTGCGGGGGGAGATCAAAGAGCTTTCAACTCGACTCGAAGAGAAGGAAGTGGAGATCCAACACCTTTATACTGAGCTTATACCCGTGATGGAGGGGGAGATCAGAGAGCTTTCAGCTCGACTCCAACAGAAGGAGGGGGAGATCCAAGACCTTTCTACTCGACTTCAACAGAAGGAGGAGGCGGTCCAAGCCCTTACAACTCAACCTCAACAGCCTTCACCAGGTGTCGAGGCAGTGACGCCATCAGAAGGTAACGAAAAAGTTGCGATTTAGAAAACGAAGAAAGCCTATGCCTACCAAAAGCCTATCAAAATGTAATTCAACACAATCTGTCTTTCCTTGACAAGTCAGTACTTCAGAGCTGGTTTCCTATATTGCAAGTGTTTCTACATTTATATTTCTAGCGATGTGGGAAATACCCATTAAAAGACCTAAAGTGTGACGGGTATGTTGTAGGCATGTGTGCGGCTTTTAGAAGGGTAAGATGCAAGCTGAGACCGTAAGCTGAAAGATGTTAGCTAGAGTTTAGTGTTGGTGATCTCCACAGATTTTGACAAGGAATTGATGCAAGAGGACCTGCATGCCCCTTTCCGTTTAAGCGTTATCGGTGTATTTACCTCCATGAAAAGTGGAGGTATTGTTTTTGGTGTTTGTTTGTGTGTGTGTGTGTGTGTGTGTACGTGTGTGTGTGTGGCTGTCTGTCTGTCTATGTGTGTGTTTGTTTGTTTGTGTTTCCGGACATTTGCGGCCAGCTCATAACTTTTGAACCTTTGGATGGATTGTCAAGATATTTAGTATGTGGGTAGGTGTTGGGTAGGCAAGATCGATTTTGGGCCTCCAGGTGGCTGACCTTGGTACTGCAGCAGAACTTTCAGTTTTTGTATCGGCTCATAAGATAGACAGGCATGCAACCTCCTCTGTTTCTCTTAGATACATGTAGCAGATGTCAAACATTTTTACTTCGACCTGAAGTCAGATACTAGTATGTTACGAAGAGCTTGTTCCTCTCAGAAGATCCACTCTTAAATTCATGTGCTTTAAACTACTGGAAGAACATCATAAGAGGTTACCTAACAAATGGAGCCTCCTTCGCAGACTTGTTGTGCGGCGGCATTATTTTTTCTGTGAGCGATCCGAGTTTTGCCGCGGAGGGACGATATTGCCGCCGAGGGAGATTTTGCCATGGAGAGAAGGTTTCCCGCTTGTTGGAGTGGGAAACCTTATCTCCGTGGGAAAAATTATTGACTGCAACGGTAACTAGTAACTGCGACGGCGATAGTCATAGTAATCTTATAGATGCAATTTTATTTAAACTTGTAGGCCACGAACAACTTCACACCACGCCCGGGCCGCACGACTGCGCGTGGCTGGACCAGGAGCTTCAGAAACAGACCCAGGACATCGCAGAGCTCACAGCTCAACTTCAACAGAGGGAAGGGGAGATCCAAGACCGTTTTGTTCGGCTTATTATACGGTTGCAGGAGGATTTCAGAGAGCAATCAAGTGTACTCCAAGATAAGGAAGTGGAGATCCAACACCTTTATACTGAGCTTATACCCGTGATGGAGGGGGAGATCAGAGAGCTTTCAGCTCGACTTCAACAGAAGGAGGAGGAGATCCAAGCCCTTACAACTCGACCTCAACAGCCTTCACCAGATGTCGAGGCAGTGACGCCATCAGAAGGTAACGAAAAAGTTGAGATTTAGAAAGCGAAGAAAGCTTATGCCTACCTAGTCTATCAAAATGTAATTCAACACAATCTGTCTTTCCTTGACAAGTCAGTACTTCAGAGCTGGTTTCCTAAATTGCAAGAAGCCATGAAAAGTGTTTCCACATTTATATTTCTAGCGATGTGGGAAATACCCGTTAAAAGCCCTAAAGTGTGACGGGTATATGTTGTAGGCATGTGTGCGGCTTTTAGAATGCTGGGTAAGATGTAGGATTAACGTGTTTTCCCATTCCAATTATGCAGCACTTGAAATTCCACACAGCGTTTGTTTGCCAATACCTCCGTCTTAACTTTGATATGATCATTCAGAAAACTGCCAGTTGGAGAATGGGGCATCCTACCGAGGAAACGTCGCTGTGACTAAAACAGGGAGGACGTGTCAACGCTGGGACAGTCAGACACCTCATCAACACGACAGGACGCCCGCTAACTTCCCGTCATCCGGACTGGAGGAGAACTACTGCCGGAATCCTGACGGCGAACCCGGAGTTTGGTGCTACACCGGGGATCCCGGCAAGAGATTTGAGCTGTGTGCCGTGCCAACCTGTGACCGTAAGCTGAGAGATGTTAGCTAGAGTTTAGTGTTGGTGATCTCCACAGATTTTGACAAGGAATTGATGCAAGAGGACCTGCATGCCCTTTTCCGTATAAGCGTTATGTGCTGTTTTCATTCACCGTTATTCCTAGCCGGCCCACCCTAATTCAACGTTCAGCGTTATCGGTATATTTACCTCCACGAAAAATGGAGGTATTGTTTTTGGCGTGTCTCTGTGTGTGTGTGTGTGTGTGTGTCTGTCTGTCTATGTGTTTGTGTTTCCTGACATTTGCGGCTAGCATAAACCTTTGGATGGATTGTAATTATATTTAGTATGTGGGTAGGTGTTGGGTAGGCAAGGTCGATTTTGGGCCTCCTGGTGGCTGACCTTGGTACTGCAGCAGAACTTCTAGTTTTTGTATCGGCTCATGTTTATGTCTATCCACACACACACACACAGAATCACACTCAAACACACACACAAACTCACACACATTCACACATACACACTCAAACACACACTCACTCACACACACACACGCACACACACACACTCACACACACACACTCACTCACTCACACACACGCACACACGCACACACACACAGAGAGAGAGAGAGAGAGAGAGAGAGACAGACAGAGAGACAGACAGACATTGTTCATAGAGGTAAATGTAAAACTTCACGGAGAATTGTCGCCAACGGACACTTGTTTTAGCTTGTATTTTGTATTATCAGTTTCTCATCCACATTACCCCGTCTTTGACAGGAAGCGAAAGCCGGGAGTACACTACCCTGGGCTGCTGGAGGGACACATCTGAGCGCGCCATTCCGACCCTCGAGGGCACAGATCCGCTACTGGATGGCGGCCACTATTACGAACGTACCCGCGCCATTGAGAAGTGTTACCAGGTAGCACGTTCTCGTGGGTTTACCGTGTTTGCTGTACAGAATGGCGGGCAGTGTTTCGGGTCTGCTAACGGCCACAACACCTACAACAAGTACGGGCCTACCACAGCCTGCGCTGCGGACGGCGAAGGCGGGCCTTGGGCAAACCAAGTCTACAAGATTAAAGGTCAGACTCCATTAAATAGTATAGAAGGGATATCTAATTTAAATAAATTTGTTTATATTCCCGTGTCAGCTTGATGGACATGCGTTTTCTACAAGAGGATTTTCATTTGTGTCCTGGACTTATTACCTGGACTCCCCGGAGCGACCAGGTGTTGGCGAGTATTATTGATTACAGTGCATGTGAAAATCCTGTATGCGTTTTTACACTCACTTCAGAGCAATCTTTTATGTTGTATATATGTAGCATTACGGGTAACATTGCCGTTAATGTGACGCCTGATATTGTCAGTAGCCATTGTCAACCGCATACTTCCCGAAGGTTTGGAATCCCAGACTTGTTGCATGTTTGAAGTGTTCCACGGGTGTCACCGATCTCTCAAATCAAGTTCTGTAAAGTTCCTTTCCCAGGGGCGCAAGATCGGTTTCATGGCAGGATTTGAACCCGAGACTCTTCAAATCTTTTTAACTGGTTCTGAGTCAAACACGACGCGCCACACGACCCCACTAAAAATACTTCCCATTGAAAGTTTATCATAAATGTTTGATCATGTGTTTTTGATTTGCATCACTACAGAAAATTCGCCCGAAGAGTGCCTGATGGACCCGTCGAAGTGGCGCGAAGACTTTCGTTGCGGTCAGGGTTACCCTGCAGAGAATGGTCACCCCGCTGAATGTGACCCTGATGGGGGACGGCCATGCTGCTCCTCGGCAAACTGGTGCGGCAGCACGGCAGACCACTGTGACTGCCCGGGCTGTGTCGACTACAGGACAGGTCTGTACTGCACACACACACACGCACACACACACACACACACACACACACACACACACACACACACACACACACACACACACACACGTACACACACACAGAAACACACACACAGACAGAAACACGCACGCACACGCACGCATGGGCACACACGCACGCACGCACGCACACGACACACATATACGCACGCACGCACGCACGCACGCACACACACACACACACACACACACACACACTCAATCACACACACACACACGCACGCACACACACTCATTTCAGAATTCCTTTTTTCTACAAACAGCAAGCTGGGCAACAGCCGTCGACATCACACTTGACTTGTGTGAACTTTAGTATGCTAGAGTATGCATCCAGGTTGTATTTCTCGTGTGTTCTATCAGAAAAGCTAAAAGACGAGAAAATATTTCTCTCAAGCAACTCACTCTTTACAGGGTCAGACACACAGTTTTAGCAAGAACCGGCTCCGTACTAAAACAATAATTTCAAACCCCCTCTTTGCATAGACCAAACATAATTTTGAAATACTACATTCCTCAATTGAAAACTTTTATGGTGCATTTTCTGTTAGTTAGAACTTTGCATTTTTACCTATTACATGTCGGACAAATCCGCCAGACGGGTCACACTCATCACGCCCAAACCGAAAGCATACCCTTCTGACAAAGGCAATAAACATGTTTCTTGCAGCGGATAACATCGCTGAAGGGAAGCCGGCGTTCCAAACCTCGGTGGTGTGGGGTAAGGTTGCCGGCCTGGCTGTGGACGGGAACACCAACGGGGACTATTACCAAAACTCCTGTCAGCACAATTTCAATGATCCGGGAGAAACCAACCCGATGTGGTGGGTGGATCTCGGACAATCCTTTACGATTGACAGGTACGTGTAAGCAAGGATGAAGAAACCTCCTTGACCTTGGTGTAAGTCATCGTGTTTTCGAAATGAAACATAACCCTCTACTTTACAAGCTTCAAATTGTGACTTTAAATTTTGAAAAATTCGTTTTTCTTATGCGCTTTGATCATGCTTTATAAAACAAACCCATTTCAAACTTCAAATTCTTAACATCACAAAGAGTCGAAAGGAAGCTTTAAGCCGAACCTCTGTATTAGAGCCAATGTTGTTAGATCAGTATCGAAAGTCCTGTTTGTACTTTATACCTTTGCATCTGTTGAGCTGTACTTTAGCCCGACAGGGCATGAATGTGCAATAAAGGTTATTGAAAAATACTAAAAAATCATACCCTCTAAACAGGGATCACTGTCAGAAGTACGTACAAAAGCAATTTCCAGGTGCCCCAGAGGTAGTCTCGAAGCACTTTCTTTGCTTTTGGTGAGCACTAACACGGTAGCCTGAGTGTCAATCTTGTTAGCTTTCGTTCGCTCCCCAAGATCCGCTAGCGGACGAAACCTAACAAGGCTGACACTCAGGCTACTAACACGGACGAATTGGGGTGTGCATCGATGTAGCTTGTGATGTGTACATATAGCTCTTGTATATTTCAATACTGTCAACAGGGTGGTCATCTTCAACCGCCAGGACTGCTGTCCAGAACGAATAAACCCCTTCAACGTCCACATCGGGGATTCCGACCAGGTCAGCGAGAACCCCAAGTGTGGAGGTGACCACCACATCGCCGAGAACCAGCCGTCCATTTCCGTCTCATGTCAGGGGATGTCCGGGCGGTACGTCGGGGTCCGTCTGCCAGGATACTACCGAACTCTTACTCTGTGCGAGGTCCAAGTGTTTGCAGGTAGACCTTTACAATATAGTCATCTATGTTCGCCTGGCCCGGTAGTTATGGCTCCCACCGTTGAGTCCTTCCGGGCCAGGCTGGAGGCCGACCGCCTTAAACCAAGGCCTCCCCCCCCCCTAAAGTCGCCCCATCAGGGGCTATATGGGGGTGTAGCCGGGGCTCACATAACATCTTTGAGCCCCGGCAAAGATGAAGATACTAATAGACTGCTGGACGTATACCAACCAGTAAGTATCTAATACCAGCCCTAAACATAACACATCCATTCGTTTTGGCAGCTCCTGCCACCACTAAAGTTTTACACATTTTTCAACGAATTGCAGCCCACTCTCCGGAACATTTGACACCGTGACAAACATATTTTCTTCAAGTGTATACGTTTACATACCTGTCCTCTATCACAAATTGACAGTATCTGACAGTTACGCTATTTGAAGCGTCCATAAAAGGAACCAGCAAGTTATTACTAGCCTCTACCATGCTTGGGGAGGCGGCTGGAAAGAGTAGCCAAATAGAGAGATACGCATGCCAAGGGAGTTTGTCCGTTGAGAGTAATCTCCAAGCAGATCGATCCCTCTCGGTGGCAAAAAGACAGTATCAAATTGGCCAGGCAGTATCCATTAGCCAGAGAAGCTCCATTAGCCACCGACGGGTGGGGATCAGGACAAAAAAAACGGCCATATATAAAAAGGTAACGATCATTCCCCACAACCTCTGCTTGGAGAGTACTTCACACAGCCGATCGTGTAAAAGTGTAATTTAGCTACTTGGCACCTATAAGATAGCGATTAGTGGACTTCAAAGAAATGGCGACTCCGCACAGGCTTGGGGTGCGGCGAAATGTTCTCTTAACGGACAAACTCCCTTGGCATGCTTATCTCTCTATTTTGTCCGATTTCTACTCTTTCCAAGCCTGGTAGAGGCTAAGTTATTACTGGTATTCTTTTTTCGGACGATTGTCAGGTAGCTAACTAACTAACCGACATGTCTGCCTGTCCTTCCTGATAGGAGCAGCTCCTGAGTGAGGGGATCTCGAAACTCCGCCAGCGTCGCTCCATGAGGAAACTTAGCCATCATCCGACCCCTGCAGTAAGATAAAAGTGATCATCTGGCAAGAATGATTGATCTCTTATTTGTTTGTTTGTTTGTTTATTTGCACAACAGCAATAAAAATTATACATAATGCACTAAGAATAAATAAAACAGGTGCAGGAGGAGGGAAAAAGCTTATTTAGCTTATGCTAAGCCCTCCTCCTCTATACTAACCAAAACTAAACATAATTGAATTGAAATAATACATACATACATAATGAATTGTTATCAAAATAATTCAAACATGGGCAAAATGATCTCTATAGCTAGATCTGGAATTAATGGATTATCGATTTTATGGATTGTTATAACCAGTTTAAAAGGCTTTTAGTATTCTTACACAGTGTGTTATGCACCATGGTTTCCCACGGTTTTTAAATGTCTTTTATGCATCACTTTTTATTGTGCACAATCACAAGGCACATTAAGTCGTGACGATGATAAGGTACCGTATATATCGTATCATAAAGAAGTACACAAATGATGTCACCAGTGCACTATTGTTTGACTTTGTCATCTACATCTGTAATAATTCTAAGGCCATGTTGATTTGATTATATGGATGACATCCTCCGGGAGCCCCAAAACTGATGCGCGCGTGCGAATAAAAAAAAGTTTTAGTCAAAAAAAAAGTTAAACTTTTCTATTA